AGAGAGGTCTAGTTCACACTAGCCCTTAGTTATATAATCTTTTTTTAAATTATTATTATATTTAACCTATACCTTTCTCCTCCCCTCACCTCGAACTGGGTCCTCCAACTTCGCTACCGACCCACAAGGGGTCCGCGAAATATCAATGGTTGAGAACCACTGGTTAGCCCAATGAAACAATCAAAAAAATTCTTAGAAATTTAAAAATAAAGATTGAATCAATAATTATAGTATTGATGCATCTTTTTCACTGTTGGTATGCTAAACACATAGAACGATTGTATAGCCTGGTATAACAACGCGTGACAGCCTGATTTTCTTGCTAAGTTTTTTTCGATATGTTTCCCTTTTCAAACAAGACATAAAAGGATATAAGCACACGTACTATATCATGTTTAACAGTTGAAATACCTACACATCATTGCAGTCGTATAAGAAAAACACTCTACAACAAATAATGTACATTGATTTCCAAATTTATGCGCAAAAACGCAAACTGTGGGGGGTTATTGGGACATTCCTATCCTAAGAGATTTTAAGTTGGGGTGAATAGAAAAAAAATATATTATAATCTAAATTTACCCCTCTTTGATCCTGTCTTAGAATACAGCAGACTTAAAGTCAACTTAAAGTAAATAAAGATTGTAAGGGTAAAAACTAAAAATAAACTTAAATATCAATTTGAGGATGAAATATATACATACTTCGTTTCAGAAGTTTAGACGCAGCAGGTGCTACAAGCTCATGGGATCAATCAGACAGCGTCAAAAGCGCATAATCATGGTATTCGATCGTCACGTTTCTTTATGTGTTTTGTCACCGCTGAACCAACCATAAAGAAAAAAGGCTCAGTGACTTGCAATTTGGGCGCTGTTTGGCTGGTCCCATTAGGAAGTTTTCGTAGACCGCGTTTCCTCCTCCACTAAGCTCTCCGAGACGGAGAAGCCGCTACTGCGCCTACACGCCGATGACTTTACTGTAGAGTTCTCGGTATCGTAGCGGGTTGCGACAGCATTGCGGGACGGCGAAATGAATTTACGAAAACCCCCTATTATCTCGTAGAGTCGGCTTTTTCTGGAAGTAAGCTGAAACACGGTATAGTGAGACCTTAGCAAGATGGGAGACCTGGTTAGTGATCGTTATAAAATTGGCCCCAAATGTGTGGCGTCACCGCTTTGAACAAGCCGTTGCTAGAGGCGTTGCTATCGACGATTATGGGACAGGATATCGCTCAGAAGAAAAAAAAAACATTGTTCAAAAATATGGACGCTGAATTTCAACGTCTAAAAATAATAGATATATAAACCCTAGCTGTCGCACTCACCACGACGGACGTTTACCGAGAATTGGCTGTTTTTAAAGTATTTGGGACGGCAACTTCCGATCCTCGAGACTTCTCGAGATGCCTGCTGCAGAGGACGAACGCATGACGAACGCGTACGGAATGGCTGAATTGCCTTCGGTAACATATTTAATTGCTTGCATAATTAAACCTTTTTTTTTTTGGGGGGGGGGGGGGGGGGAGGGGGCAGGGCAGGTTTAGGAAAACTCATCATGTTTACAAGAACTAATTGTATTTGCGTGCAATACCGGATACTGTCTGACGAAAATCATCACACGTATGAAAATCTGCTAAAAATACAGCAGGAGAACCATTTGTTTAGAGCTTGATATCAAAGCAGTATCAGGCCCTCCCTGATTTTGCAGTTGGCGTGCTATGTAAAGAAGAACCAATCATTTTGAATCTAACATCAGCAGTATGACACCCGAAGCTTCATTTTTAAGGCCCTCAATAGGGTGTATGTTTCGAACCGGCTGGTAATAATCACAATTAGAAAATGTACTGCTGAATTTTCCGTTTTGAGTCAGACCCCATATTGCCTAAGAGCTGAATAATAGCGTCGGGTAAGTTATATATCTGTTTGTCGAGTCCGTTTTATCTACCAAATGTGCACTGAAGTAACTTCTTTGCCGTCTGAACTACTTGAAACATGCACTCGCCTGAACTTCGACGTTGATACACTTCACGTCGTTGTCGTACGTAAATCGGCCTCTAAGGGCAGGCGTTCGCGCGCTCGCAAACCTCGAGCATCGATCAAAGCTGTGCACGAGAACTCTTCGATCGCTTCCGAAATCCCGCAGAAAGTTGATCCGAAAAATTCGCACTCGTCACGAACTTAATTAACGCAATCGCGTACTACTTCAAAAAAAGAAAAAAAAACTGATCCCGCGAAGGTGTATTGTGTCGACTGCTAGTACGGGCTTTTATTATCGTTTTCTCGTACGGGACGAGAGAAAAAGTAGTCATGATTAGATATTAAGAAGAGACAACGCTTATAAAAAAAGTTATATAAATATTCAGACATTTTGTTTTTATTGGACCATTTCTAACCTCTCGTTCAGCCCATATGCATTTGTTCGTAACAACGGCACTAGCAACGTGTTGTTCGAAACATAGCGCCATGCTGTGACGTCATCACTTACGGGCTAAATTAGATGCAAATTGTCCCCCTCCTCAGCGGAAGCCGAACAGCAATATTTTTACGTAGCAGTGTGGGATAGTTTGTCCATAGCTAGGTCAAAAAGGCGTAACCCGTTTACCGCCAGGGAAGCACTCCGTGAGGAGAAAAACACAGACACACACAGTTCCCGTGTTCCGTATAACATTGACAAGCACCGTACCTACCTTACCGCCAAGCAGTTGGAAGAGCCAATCACTGCAACTCACAAAGAAAACTCGGCGAATAGTAATGTTGAAAATATATTAACACGTCAAAAAATATTAAACAAACAACAAAAAAGCGTGATACGTTATGATCTTTGTCGTAGTACAAACTTGTTTTTTTTCGTCCCATTGTTTCACATATACTCAGCCTAATTAATCACCGAGCACCCTTCGTAGAATGCAGCGATTGGTTGTCCCAAGCTGTTTGAGGCGAATCCCGGAGAAAGGCTCACCGGAGAAAAGCTCACCGGAGAAAAGCTCACCGGAGATAAGCTCACCGGAGAAAAGCTCACCGCAAAACCGGCGGATGCGGAGAAATGCTCACCGGCCATTGAGCGTATGCGCAGAAAGGCTCACCGATATTTTTTCTTCTTTTTATGTGGAGGCTGTTGGATCGTGCGTAACATATATCAATTTATTATCATTAAAATTCGTCAGCTTTGTAAAAAATAAAATGTCCTCTTTTGTAATATTTGTTAAGCTTAATGGGTATATTGCTCCCAAATTAATAATCGCGGGTCAGTGTTTTTTGTGGCTTACTCTCGAGGCAACGAAAGCCTAACTAAAATGTTTGTGAACTTGAAGAACAGGAAAAAGTTAAAAAAAAAGGTAATGATGACTGCCTAAAACCTAAAAATCAAAGGTGTAAATGCCGAAAATTCAAAAGTGCACGCGCAACGCCGCGGTGCCTGAAATTCTCTTTGAAGCTTTTGTTAACATTTGAAAACAGGATAAAACAGTCAATAGGATATCGAGGCTTCTTTCTTCCACGGACATGCACGTTTTCTAGCCGTTCGTGCTGGTGTTTCCACAAGTTTCCTTTGTGTGATAGTGCCCTTCTACGGTGAGCCACTCATGACCTTCAGAGCGGCACACTGTCACCGTTGTTACCCGCGACCTATATACGAAGTAGTCTTCTGTAAGGTAGCGAACTGGGTGAGTTGGTAAACGTTATGCATGATGAAAACTGCTCAAACGACGACGACGGAGTGAATACAACAAACAAGACAGGGCGAACCTGTTCTCGCAACTAAAGTTTTGTTAGTGAAATTAACATAAATAATACAGCGCAGCCGACACTGATTACATTAACAAATATCTACTTATCTATTGAGCACTACACAATATTTGGACCTCAAGCGATTCACTCACCGCTCTTCATATTAGCTCGCAAAAAACAAACCTCTTTATCTGACAGGGCTACCGACGGCGCACCCTCAGCTGTCAATAAATTGTTGCCTTTTTTACCGGTGTACGATGTTCTGATTTTATACTTGCGGCTTCATTAATTTACAGAATGGGTGATTACTAATTTCTGAGGAATTAGTAAATATGCCCAATGAACCTCAAGAATATTACAAAAACGAGGAGATATTTTTAATGAAGTGACGAATGCGAATTGTGTTAAATTTCCACGTTTTACGCAGAATCAAGCTAAGCTAAAAAAATATTGGTGAGCTTTTCTCCGCATCTGCCGGTTTTGCGGTGAGCTTTTCTCCGGTGAGCTTATCTCCGGTGAGCTTTTCTCCGGTGAGCTTTTCTCCGGTGAGCTTTTCTCCGCCGCCCGTTTGAGGCAGGGTAGAGGCACCCGAATGCGAAGGGCGAATGCTTTTGCTTTCATCAATCTATTCTACCCTGTTTAGCGTTACGGCCATCTGACCCCGGCCTACGCTAAGATCAAATCGAGCCAATCGAGCAGAACCGAAAAGTTCGTTGTCACGGATCTCATTGCCATTCTGGCGTTGCTTTTACTGGGAAAACAAATCACGAACAAAAAACACCGTAAGATCGTGGCGCGTTCAATCGTACTTGACTGAAATAGTCGGTAATGGCGAGCGCACGGAAGTGATGAGCGCCACGAGGATGCAACTTCGGAGCTGCGTGACTATACCAATCGGATCGCAGCGCGAGCTAACCCCCCCCCCCCCCCCCTCCCCCCATTTGGAGGTTTTCCATTCCAAACTATATCTAGCGACAGACTTCTGGCGCGACACCCAGTGGAAAACTGACGACTCATTTCCACCACGCGGGTGGTCTTTTGACGTGCAATCCAAGGCTAGGTTACACGGCGGCTTCTCCGTAATATGCCTCCGTCATATCGCGGGCACCCCGGCCGGGTTTCGAACCCGCCACCCGGGGATTCGTAGGCCGACGCTTGGCCTCGAAGCCAGAGAGGATTTTTTTTTTTCTTTATTCACAGAGCCAGTAAGGCGGCTGAGTAGCGTGAGCTACGGCAGGACTTGATCCGAAACGGACTATATAGACGAATGCTCACCGGCTGGGACAACGGTGAAGTTGCAAGGCGCGAGCTGCTTTCCGACCTCATTTGTGCCCCAGCAGAGCAGGAAGCCGAAGTCCTCTTCCCCTTGGGGCGAGTACACGGCAGTGCTGTGCGTGAGCGCGTGGCTGTAGCTGGCCAGGTCGAGCCGCTTGCCGCTAGACGAGCTGTTGAACCGCCAGTGGAAGGTCACGTCCGAAGGGTCGGCCTCCAGTTCACACCGGACCGCCAAGGACTCCAGCCTGGAAACGCCGTACAGGCGTTTCTGGCCAGCTTTGCAGACCGGAGCGACTGTGCACGTGCAGAGAACAGGTTGCGGAGGTCAGAGATCACTTTCTAAGCTCCCGTCCTCATATGTGCCCGACCGATAAAACAAACAAACAATACAATTGCGAACGTGCGCATCATTGTGGCTGGAACCGCCGGAAGGATGATAGGAAAAGAAATCTTGTGTGGGCCTGACCCCCGTGTGCCCACACGGTAGAAGCCAAGAGGGATGGGGAAATGGGAACAGTACAAATCAATACAAACACGAAGGAAGCCACTGGCTTCACATTCAGCTATCATCACGAGGATTGATTAATGATCTGTGGGGTAATATTCCTGAAATGCATCACGTTCGTTCATACAGTCAAAGTTGTCTGATGTTCCACAATAATTAATAGAATTAGGGAATCGCCATCAACGTAAGTCACTTGGAATTGACGAAAAGAAAGCAACGATCTCCAAGAATGTCATCATATTTAGAGTGTATGCACCTTGGCAATTTAACAAACCTATTTTAATTAACTTACGCAAGAAAAATATATGAATTATACTTAACTTTACGGAGGGTAATAAACGCTATTTTAACAAGAGTGAAACAGAGTTTTAACTATTACAGGTACACTTACGTTTCGGAAAGAGCATGACTCTAAAAAGGATGGTGACTGATTTCACCACATTGTTCATTAGCACTTCGGACGCTGTTACAAAATATACCTCAAGAATGCACTCTCTCAGGTGTTTTTTTTTTCATTTTTTACGTATTCTACATTAGTCTATATTGTTACCTTATTGAGACGAACAGGGGGACGGGATATTTCATTTAATTATCGAAACTTACTGTAATTATTTGGGATATAGGAGAACAAAATTCATGTTATCAATGAACTTCAGTAATTGTCGCTATAAGTTTGATGTTTCTTACCCAATTGCTCAAATAATTCAAAGCAACAAGTGGTGTAACACGCTACACATGATCACTGCAATTTCGTTACGCTAATTTGTAGGGCTGGGCAATTGATCGATTAACCTACCGATTAATCGATTAATGCTTTAATCGCGATTAAAATATTTAACTGGTTAATCGGTAAAATTTAGACGAACCAAAGGACTCAAAATTAAACACTTACATAACGCAGACGTGGACGAGTACGCCTGTACGAAGGGCGAACTTTAGGTCAAATTTTAGAATAAGGTAAACTGTATAGAGGCGATATATTTTTAGCATCATATTTAGGGCAGAGGTTACGCCAGTCCCCGGCCATTTCAATGTCGCTCGAGTGTCTGTTTAGCGCAGTAGAGACTATTGTGAACAATGAAAGGAAGTCGCTCTTTTTAGAGAATATCAACGAACATCTTTGCTTCACGCAGCAAACGTAATATTTTGTGAAAGATCTCTGATAGTGATCTTGATTAATTCATAATCCGCGTTGTACATTGCACCGTTTATCATAAATTCAGCAAAAAAAAAAAAAAACTTTTTTTAATATTTTGCAATGAAATAAACGAGACCGATTAATCGATTAATTAATCGATTAAAGGGTGACGATTAATCGGGTTAAAACTTTTAATCGACGCCCAGCCCTACTAATTTGCTAACTTTTACGTGTTAACCCAACTGTTAAAGGGGTCATGAAACGCTTTTCCAACTTTTTCCTGTTTAGCTTTCCTCCTCAACTCGTAAATCGCGCATTCCTTAAACACTTCAAGACGACGAAAAGAAGGGAGGCCCCTTTCGCTCGGAATCTGATTTGTCTACCCGGACATAGCCATTGTCCCCCTAGAAGATTAGCCCGTCGCTCAAAATTCAGACAAAAGTTGCTTTCCCCACCCCGTTTGTTCCGAAGCTGACAGTGCTGTTGAAGCTACGTGTCGTTGGGCCAGCCACACTTGCCACGTGAGCGTGGCAAATGTGGCTGCAGAGAATGAAGTCACGTGATGAAAGGGAGGCGGCTGATTGGTCCGGCAAGCGCGTAGCTTCCACCAAAATGTCAGCTTAGAGGTGAAGGGAATAAGTGAGGTCCGGTTGCGTGTGACGTCAGTTCGGACCCGATGACGCGTTTTTGGGACCGCGGATGTATCACAGTGAAAAGGCAGAGAGGTTGCGAAGGGGAAGAGAACCGAAATAGTCCGCTCTGTTTTCAAATTTTCGCACTGAAAGTCAGGCTTTTGACTTCCTACTTTTTTTCTTTTGCTCCACTGAACGATGTGCTATTAGTAAAATCCCAATCTAAACTGATTTATCCCAACCCAAAAATCGTTTCACGGGCCCTTTAAGATCACATATCAATTCATTGCTGAGCTATAGTTTCCACGCGAATAAAACTCATTCGCACGTGAGAGGAAGGAGTGCACTCACATTTTATTCTGAGGGCAAAGGTGTTACTGGCGCCGTGTCCCTCGCGGTTCACTGCAACGCAGGTGTAGCGTCCCCGTCTCGACTTGCGCACTTTCTGCAGCACGAGCGACTGGTTGCTGACAATGACACCAGCACTCATGTTGGTGGTCACTTCGCGGTCTTCAAAGAGCCACGTGACCTCCGTCGCAGGCGGACTAGCGTCCACGTGGCACTCCAGGTAGACGTCCCTCCCCTCACGGATGTCGTGTTCCTTGAGGTTCTGGCCCAGACGAAGGGTCACCCTTGGTTTGTCTTTAAATCGGGAAAGAACACACAACGACAACAAACAATATTAGCAGATGCAAAAAAAAAAAAACTGTTTTTAACACTGGTCCAAGCTTGCAGGCTACATAGTTGCGTGAATATACAAATCGTTTAAAAAAAGCCATAGACAATATTTCTACTTTTGTTAAATACTTCTTATAATTACTCCCTAAAGTTAATAACTGAATAAACGTGCCTCAGTTTTTCTATCTAGGCAATGGCAGTTGCCAAATAAATTCGACAAATATTAGCACCGTTCATCCCATTTATGTCGGAGTCAGAACCAACGGGCATATGGCCTGGTGTATGCCTCATGTCGCCAAAGCTACTCATAGCCACGTGCTGGGGTGGGCCAAGAAGAAAACACGTGGTATGTTCCAGGAATATAGTTCGGCTATTCCCATCACCGCCGTGTTTGGAAGTGAGCCGGCTACCCGAGTGTCCGCCGAGGCATTGATAGTTGCGAGCCGAAGTAGAGTGCTCACGCACTTGTCGTATCCAATACATCAGTCGTGCTCGACTGTTTTCAGACGGGTGGTTTCGATACCACGATTACGTGATCAAGCTTTGCGAAAGGAAGAAAAGGAAGACTGAAAGAAATAGACCCCTTTTATCCTCCCACTTTCACCGCGACAAATAAGCCTCTGAATCAGTGGGGCCTGTGCAAATATACTTGGGCCCGACTAGGAGCAGTACGCTTTTGGAAAGTCAGGAACATTGCAGCCCAATTTCTTTTCATGGTCTCTTTATATGATTTAACACTACTGCACCTTGGTGAATAAGGTAACTTAAATGGGGGAGAACCAGAAGAAGGCGACACAAGGACGAAGACAGGACAAAACATTTGTCTTTCAAAGAAACAATGCAAGACGTTTTAGAGCGCAGCTCTTAGGCGCCCGTTTAGAGCTTGAGCGGCGTCGCCGTTGCCGTCGGCGTCACTATCGGCGTAACCGCGCGGTGCATTATGGGTAATTTCCCCGCTAAATCTAGCGGAACAATTCCCTCAGTAAATTTAGCGGAAAAATGTCCCCACTAAATCTAGCGGAAAAATTTCCCCGCTAAATTGGGCGAAAAAGTTCCCCCGCTAAATTTAGCAGAAAAATATCCCCGCTGAATCCAGCGGAAACGTTTCCCCGCTAAATCTAGCGGAAAAATTTCCCCACTAGATTTAGCGGAAAATTTTCCCCGCTAAATGTAGCAGAAGACCTTCCCCGCTAAATCTAGCGGAAAAATTTCTCTGGGGCTCACGTGACCCCTCCCCCAAATCATGTGACCCCCCCCCCCCCCCTCCCCCCCATGAGAACACGTTTCCCTCAGTACCCTTCCCTTCTCCTCCTCAAGAGCTCAGCTCTTGAGGAGGAGGCGTTACGGGGAGTTGTAAACGGCTTTCACTTGTTAATGCACCGTTCAAATGGAAACGTATCTAAAATCCCAGAGCCAGTAACCCGCGAGGACGTCATAAGTAAACAGATGTAAAGAACTTGTACTCAAAGCTTCGGTGCACAATATTCCTTTGGTTTCATGTTCAATGGTTGTTTAAACAATGATTCCCGTTCGAATGTTTCGCGGCTTCTAATAAAAACAAAACGCGAGTTTCCTGATATTTTATTAGATATGCTTGTATCTTAAAACTTTTATAATAGCTAACAAGCCTGTGGAGGCGGCCTAGGCATTGACCAGTCGAGTCGGAGTTACATCATAAAGCTGTTTTAATTAACGAAGCAGAAAAAGAGAAGGAAACAAACAAGCAAAGAGCAGAGCGCGCTCTTGGCGCGTGCCGTTCGGCAGCGTCGCAGGTGTTCAGGAGAGGCTGCAAGAGATGGCCAGCATAGAAGGAACAGCACGAAGGAGGGACGAAAGTTAGGTCGGCTGAACTGAACATAACAGCGCCCATCACATGTTATTGAGAAGCTAAACACTTAGGAATGAAACGTAAAAAAACTGTTGTAGAGATTGATTTTAAAGGAAAGCTGAAGAGGTTCTTGAAAAAAAGAAAACGAGTTAGTGGTAAATTCTAGAGTAGTTTTATCCCGTGAAACTGGATATCGCGTTCGTTTCCCGGAAGATGTAACGACACGCAAGAAAACACAAAAAATCTTCGACCAGTCATTATGTCATGCCCAGATCTTTCGGCTGCCAAGCGATGTGTCGCGGGCGTGGGCACCTCGTGTAATTGCAAGCTTGTCAGGTATATTCCCTTGCACTGGCACCAGTAGTTACGTCGTTTTTTTTTACCTTTTGTTTTTGAATAGCAAGAGTGCGCGTGCTTATAGCTTTGATAGGCGCTGAAGACGCGCGATAGCGGAGACCCCGAAAACTCTGTATATGACGTCACGCTCGGGGAAGGAGATTCCTCAGCTGTACTTTGAAAATGATTTTCTGCAACGCCCGTGCGCCAAACTGAAAAAAAGAAATATAGACATTCCTGATCCTGGAGGCTAAATGAAGACAATGCAAGTGTTTTTCCTCAAAAACAGATCCCTTCGGATTCCTTTTAAGGCAATTTATATTTCCTTATGTGAACAGCTTTTTTTTTTTTTTTAACACGAGAAAATATTACTGCAGCGCGTTACCTATAAATTTCCCGTGCACAGGGTTTGTGTCTGGACTGGCCTCTAATGACATTAACCCTGGTGTTTAGAGTGGACTGTGATGATATATGAAGACGATGTAAGTGTGCTTCCTCAAATACAGAACCCCTTCAGATTCCTTTTAAGGAAATTTATTTAAACATACATCTTTTAAAAGCACAAATCAGCAAATATTTTAATTCACAATACTAGCACAGTTGAAACGTGTGCATACAATATGCAGATAATGTAGCCCTCGTCATTTAAGTTAAAATGCAATGATGCTGTATGTTTACTTTCCAGACATCATTTTATTCTATAAACATAAACCATACAGAAGATGGAAATATGAGAGGGATCAATCGGACGGAAGCGGCTTGAATGAATATCCCATGGAATGCCTCCGCATTGCTAAGCCAGAGAACAGATTTCAACAATTTGACAAGCGAGGACCGCGGTAGCCCATTCAAACACATTCTCCACAGTTCCCCGCAATCGGAGCTCGTCGCATGGTATTTTTAGCACGCCGACCTGCACACTGTTGAGTCAGTTCGTGTTACAACCCCAAGTACATACATACACTGCAAAGTGTCGTATTCAACAATTTCTTTAAGCATTCAAACTGAATAGGCTTGTTCTTTTGATTAGAATGATTTTTATTAGACTAATTAATACAACTTCGAAACGACTTTTTTTGGTAATAAAATAGTTTTTTGTTATATCAAACCATCCAATATAGCGGAGCGTGTTAACGTACAGACTGCGTGATTCCACTTGAGGTACCACTAGAAGTAGTGTTGATTCGTTATCTCGACAGGGCGTCTTATACAAAAAGGTTGCTGATAGCTTCTAAAAGAATTGTGAAAATATGAAAATTGGACGCCAATATTAGAACCCCTCTTTATAATTGAAAACTACATCGAAATCAAAGGATGAGTCTACTTTAAATTAAATCCACTTTAAAATATAACTAGTTTCAAATCTCGAAGAAGTAAGATAGCACTACCCATTTAAGAACACCATTCTCCGCAGCTCATTCAACATTGATTGGAATATCAATCTGACTGGATAAAAACATACTTTGGTTTTATATTAAAAGCTATTATCGGCATTTTATAGATTTATGTCACTCCAGAACTTCGCCATACTTACAAAACACATCCAGCTTCCAGCCTTCTTCGATGGCACTTCCAGGTATGAACGGATTCTCTGCACGACACGAGAGCACCAGGCCGTTGTCTTCAACCCTGGGCGTGAAAAGGATCACGCTGGAGCTGGTGCTAACGCCCTCTTGGACCTGGTGCTCTTTGGTTGAAACCAGTTGCTCTCCGCTTTTCCACCAGGTAAGCAGCGCCGGCGGTCGAGACCCACTCGACGAACACACCAGCTCCACCTCCTGGTCGGCTGACAGTGCCTGCTTCGGCGGTTGGATCGCCACGTCAAGAGGTATCACTGGAACGGGGTATAAAACTTAGCTAAAACGTCACTTTTCTTATGACTAAAAGGTTGGAAGTTCATTACGCGCTTGCTCTATTATGTGGGGAACGTTTTAAATGAAACGACACCCAGAATGTGCCAAAAACTGAGGAATGAAAAATCAACATTTATGAATACAGTTCGAAAGCTTCAATATTTCGAATATAATGCATGTCCCGCAAACATACTATCAAAATTAAATAAGCGCAGAACCAACAGAGTACAAAAGTGCTTTTATATGGCACTTAAAGGGTGCTACTAAAAACATATGCAAAAAATCATTGTCAACTTTAGATGTTCGGTAAAGATGCTGCACAGCTTACATTCACTATAGCAACCTTGGTGATAGAAGTTATATTACGTATTGTGACCTATGTAGTAATAAAAAGTGAACTTGAAGCTTTATCTCCCCCCCGCCCCCGCCCTCCCCCCCCCCCCCCCCCCTTAATATGAAATTGAGTGTCGGCAAATAGTGCTCTGGGGCCAAGGATCGCGAGCGTGAATATACGTGTTTTGCTGCGAGTGACGCTACACTGAAATGAATTGGCGGCGAGTGAGTGTATAACCACATCAAGTTCATATACAGTACTGAACCAAATTCTATAGTCGTCTACAAAATCTTAACCCAGATGGCTCAAGGCTTGAGTCATGTGGGTTAAGCCTCAAGTTACACTATTCGACCCAGATTGTCCAGACGCTCTATCTACGTTGTCGATGTAAAGTGAAACAAAACGAAAATGGCGCCAAAGGTAACTGAACTCTCTTGTTAGCTCATTAATTGAATAAACATATAATTATTTTTTATTCTGCTAAAAACACAATCTACATACAATTTATACATGTCTCATATTTCTAAAAGCTGAGTGATGAATCGTAAAGCCTATATGCAATACATTCCCCAGTCATGTGATAAAAAAGATGTTCTCACAATTAGTACAGTTTTACCGTTTTTTTTTTGACCAGGAAAGGACTCGAAAATTTCGCTATTTGTGTTAATACACCTACCACGCCGGTTGATTAGGTTGAGAAAATAACTCTGGACAGTTTCCTTGATTCTTGACTGAGGTAAACGTGGTATTTTTACCAACGATAAAACATCAATCATTACACTAGCCCCCATGCAACACGACTTGGTAAGAATTTGTTGTGTAAAACAATACGGACCTTTTCGCAACAAAAAATTAAAATTTTAATTAACGAACTAACCTAACTAAGCACATAAGACAATTTAAATAAAACTATAAAATGATGCGGCTCCCCGATATATTTTACAGCGCAAGCAGCTAGCGCCCCACTCCCCGGTTCTTCGACGGTGTGAGCGTAAACTAGAAGTTTCCCCTCTAAATTTAACGGAAAAATTGACGTCACGTGAACTATGCACCAATTCAGCTTTCCCGCTAAATTTAGCGGAAAAATTTACGTCACGTGACATTTGCACTAATCCAGTTTCCCCGCTAAATTTGGCAGGAACACGTATCAGGACCTTACGATTACTTATTCATCTGCAACGTATCGACGCTAAATCAACGCAACGTCATTTCAATATCAGATCACTTTTCGACGCACGGTCGGTGCAATGTCAATGCATTGTCATCGTCATATCGTCGAATAACCAGCACAGCTGATGCTGACTAAACGCATCACACGGCGTGATTGTCGCGCAATTTTTTTTTTTTTTTACTGATCGTGAATTTATTTTTTCTTTATGGACAACGAAAACCCTTTTATCTTGTGACCTTGAAACCGAAGCTGTCAGCCGGAAATTAGATGATTCTTTACTCGTGAACGCCATTATCTCGCCTGCACGACACCGATACCACATGTAACTTCTTAGGCAGGCGTGATCTTACTGACCGCATGTTTTTTTTGTTTTTTTTTTTTCTTTTTTTTATCTCCTGGTTTGCTTTTGGAGGAGTTTACCGCTTCTTTGTGTTGAACATCCGGCACGCCAAACTAAGCGGATAATCCATCATCAGGTGACATCTTTATCTTATTTGTTTTCCTAAAAAGGCAACCATTTGATCAAGGGAGAATGGTAAATACAAAAACGTGCGTCAGATTAAATATTTGTTTTTAACGCACGGCGGGTAAAAAAAAAAAATACTACATTGGAGGGGGAATACTTATTCTGGCCTAGACTAGCCGTTTCTGTTCAATTAACTTTACATTGCAGCACTGGAATGTTAGTGTTAAGATATTAAAAAAAATATTTGCAACATCATCTGATCTAACCTAAATTTTATGGCGCTTCGTAGCTTAGAGACTGCCACATTCTATTTTCTTGTCACATTCCTATCACACTGAGGCGACACATTATTGATTGCAATCGTAGTACACCAGTGCTGCTTGTCTTTATCATGATTGGGTAACACGTCATAAAGTACTCCAATGCTAAGAAACAAGCTTCGTGGATATTTTGCTTCTTTCAGGCTTCTCTGAAAGGAAAATTTTATTTTGGAAAATATTTATCTATCAAAATAAGTAACACTGATTTCTTATCTTAAGAAACCACGACAGGATATCATTTTGCACCCCTTCAGCATGTACATTGTCTACTCTATCGATCTTCTTTCGCGTTTTGGATTTATCTCCATCAACTATCACCAGGGAGCAAACCAATAGGCATCTCCGCTTAGAACGACCTCCAACTCTACCTTTGAAGTGAAAATTTAGAAGCGTAAGGCTCTTGGATATAATAAAACTCACGGTTCATGTCCAGTGTGATTGAGCGTGACGCGGCGACGGTGACGTTGTTGTTGACCGCTTGGCACGTGAGCACTGTCAAAAAGTCGGAGCGCTTGAGCTCATGAATATGAAACCTATTTCGAACCACGTTGCCATCGCCAGCCACGGTGAAGTTGGCGTCGACCAATCGCTTGTCCCTCCACCAGGTGACCACGGGCCGAGGTTTGCCTAAGCAAGAAAGAAGGTGAAGATCTAAGTACACAATAACCTTGCCTAAAATTTTTCATGAATTAGCCGACACATCCGCCTTTAAGTTTTAAACCTTTAATGTTCACGTCAAAATGATTTAGTGTAGACATTTTCAATAATAACTTTCCCGATAGCAAAATATGCTTAGCGTGTATTTTTCTCTTTACCCTCTAGAGAGAAGAAAGTTGTTTTTAGACCACTTATTTAATAAAAAAAATGCTTGAAATCCAGTTGTGTGGTGTACATTCAACATGATGGTAAGCCTGATACTCGTCATGAAGAGATAATACTGTAGGAAGGCAGAGCAAAATAACAGGTACAGACAGCACCGGTTCTAGAGTATTTAAAATAACATTCGCTTTATAACATGCTTTTTGGTTTTTATTGTTTTGTCACAAGTTATTTTACAGTTCTTAATAACGAAACAGCTAGTGTTATTGGTTGTGTAGATTCTATATTTTCAACAGTGTAAAAATATTCCGAGATATTCCCAATGATTTCTATAACCTGACTCTTGGCATATCTATCGGGTTAATAAGGTCTTTGCAAAAGAATTACAATGAGCTGTGCTTGAGACTCTGTTAGTTGCGTTGTCCTTCGTCTTTTCCCCAGTCTCAGGAGTTTTTCTATAATTATGTTAAACCCTACCCAGCTCGTTTGCGCCCCAAACTTTTGTTTTTAATGATGCCCATTCAGAGAACAACTCAAGAATCTTATTAGTTGCGCGCGGCACTGCACTACAAAAGCAGAGCTTCATTATTGAAAATAAAGTTCCCTATATTAAGGTCAAAAACGAACTTAAGCCATTATTGTATCATAACTCTGTCATGAAGTCTAAAGTTTTAATTTACATAACTCTGCGCTAACAGGTGCGTCTGTGTTCCTTTTTCTTACTTCTTCATTAGTGTATTTTTCAAGCGAACATCTAATAAGACAGAGTAATTTATCTCGCCATCTTTAAGCCTTTATTTCTATTGTGCGCTGGAGCTGCGTTTTATGCCCGTTGTTACCTACATAATATAAGGATTTCTCACTGAATACCTCTGTCGATGCTGACTCAACACGCCTGAAGTACGTCGGGCAACAGAACAACCAGAACAATAGAAGGCCTCTTATGAAAGATTCGCTAAGATATCATCGAATAATCAGTTTCTATATGTCTCTAGTGGCCAGCCGGAGAGGAAGAGGAGGAAGGTCACAGGGAAACGAGCTTTAGGACGCCGCAGCGGCTCAAGATGCCACGGAATTTGAGCTTGTGCAGATATTGTTAATTAAACACGTGATATAGACGAAACGTCCTCTATATATTGATTACCCGAGGCCAAGCGACCCCCACCTCAACCAGCTACGCTCCTTCTGGGTCTTCTGGTGAGCTGAATGACGGCTTTCAATCAGCACCATGAGCTTTTGTTACGACAACGCCCTAACAGGGACCCCACCAATACTTTGGGCGACGAAAAGGTTAGTCAAGCTCCACTCCCGGGATTCTGCTCATCAAACTCTGAGCTGTGGGGTTTTTGACGGTTAATTCAATATTTAAAAAAAGAGAAAAAAAAAAGAATTGTGTTGTCTCAGACCAAGTTTGATTACGTTGTCTCGGCTATTCCGCAAGCAACAGTGGCAGTGCTGGCAGACAAACTGCGCTCTCTGCACCCCCCCCCCCCCCCCCCCCCCGTGTCGAACAATAGCCCTTCGAGAACCAAGCTTCGAGAGGTGCTGATTCGACACACACCCGAATCAAACTCACGCCGACTTCAAAACCTGTTGACATACGAAAAGGAAGCCTTTCCTCCAACCCCTCCCAACTCAAGCACGCGTGATACCGAGCACGTCAACGACGGATTCGATCGACACACTAGCTCACGTAGCAGACCAGATAATGAATGTCGGTGGTCATGGCATTTCTGTACTGCAGCAGGATTCACCATTCAGCAGGATTTTACCATCGACCGAGGTAAGTGCTACACTCAGATCTTGGACTTCAACAGTAGTTTGGAGGCTAGATTTGGTCAACTAAGTAAAGAGCTCCGCGAACTGAAGGTGCGACCGTTGCAGCCTCCGAAGTCCATGGAAATTCGCGTCGACACAAGAAACGTTCACCCGACGAGTGGCGGACGTCCGAGCACGTCGCTGACGTACTCGGTATCATGCGTGCTTGAGCTGGGAGGGGTTGTAGGAAAGGCTCTCTTTTCGGAGGTCAACAGCTTTTGAAGTCAGCGTGAGTTTGATTCTCAGAAATATGCTAGTTTCACCACCACAATGGGCGATCCCTAAGGCAATGTCGCCCACCGTGTACCCGCTCGGAAAACAGGATGGGCTCCCGCTGAAGGCCACCACCGTCGAGAGCCCCACGTCAGGCCGAATCTTTTAAGTATCCGAAAGCCACATGAGGGTTCATTTTCTGAGTGATACTGTGGCTGAAGTCAGCATTGTACAGTGCTAATCACACTTGTCTATAACGCACGAGCCTGCGGCCTTCTCCGGGGAGCGCTAGACTGGTGGTATTCGCGGAAACGAAGCTAGTCACGTGGCGCAACATGGAACGGCCCGCTCGAGGCGTGTCCTGCCCACTCTATCAGCAGCTTGATAAGCGATAAAAGTAAAGTGCTTTATAATATTTCTTTTTTTTTTTTTGATGACGACATCGTTGATACGCCTTCATGCTCTAGTTCGCTTATTATTCGAGCAATGATGCTTGTAAAAAGCCTGCGAGCAGCCTTCTGCGTTCGCCGCCAGCTGACAGAATGGGCAGGACACCACTCGAGCGGGCCGTTCCATGTTGCGCCACGTGACTAGCTTAGTTTCCGCGAATGCCACCAGTCTAGCGCTCCCCGGAGAAAGCCGCACGCTCGCGCGTTATAGACAAGTGTGATTAGCACTGTACCTCCTACGATGGAGGATTGTGATCAACACCAGGAATTTCAGCAGCTCCAAGCTGTAAAGGGATCTTCGATCAAGGCATACGAAGAGGAGTCGTTATAGCACTTGACATCGGGCTCCGCAGAACGTTTTGCTGGATTTTAATTATCGAGGACTTCTCCCAAGCCATCATCGGAGCAGAATTTTTTACGGCATTTCGCGCTTTCCGTAGGCTTGCCGAGGAACATGCTTCTGAACGGTGAGACGCAACTCGGTATTCAAGTTCTGCTATTGAAGATGCCACCTCTCAGCCCTACCCTTCCACAAGCGGAATGGGATACCCCGTGGAAGGTCAGTGCTAACGAGTTTCCAATCGTGTTCCGCCCGTCGGCGCCCGACCAGAGTTTCCAGCAAAATAACACTCATCGCATCGAGAAGAAGGGCCCTCCGGTGTTTGTAAGACCTAGACGCCCGGCATTCGATCACCTTCAAATAGCCAAAAATGGGTTTAATCACATGCTCGAACTTGGCGATGCACGACATTTTCCAGCTTGAGGTCCTTATCGCTTACATGGTGCCCAAGAAAACAAGGGAGTGGCTACTCTGTGGAGATCATCAGGCATCGAACAAGGCTAAGGTTCCCGATTGTTATTCAATATCCAATATCCCGGACTTTGGCGACATCCTAGAGGGCGCTACTATCTTTAGAAAAGTAGATTTGGTTAAGGTCTATCACAAAATCCCCATAGAGCCCGCAGATGTTTCCGAAATCGCCGTCGTTATGTCGTTCGGGATGTATGATTATTTTTTTGCGATTTACTCCTGGACTTCGCAACTCTTCTCAGACCTTCCAACTCATTGTCCAGGGAACTTGCCACGTTTGATTTCGTTTCGTCAACACGCAATACATGTGGCACCATGACAGAACAGCACACGACAAAACAGCACGCGACAAAACAGCACGGTCAAAACAGCACGCGTCAAAACAGCACAGCGTCAAAACAGCACGACGACAAAACAGCACGCGTCAAAATAGCATGCGACAAAACAGCACAACGTCAAAACGGCACAGCGACAGAAGAGCACGTGCCAAAACAGCACAACGTCAAAACAGCACAGCGTCAAAACAGCACGGTCTCAAAACAGCACGGTCTCAAAACAGCACGGTCTTAAAACAGGACATTGACAATATAGCTAGGGTTTGGCATTTTCAGTTTTTATTATTTCTAAATTCGGCTTACCTTTTTCGGTTTTTATTCGAAACAAATTTTCGGTTTATTGCTGTGTATATTTGTAGACTCATAAACTTCTCGGTTCTTTTCGGTTTATTGACGAAAACCAGTATACTGCCGAAAATGCAGTCTTTAAAAGCGTTTGTTTGAAATGTATAGTGAATAAACCAGGTATTGATTTTCTTAATTATTTCTGTCTGTGGCAGCCGACGTGACCTGTTCTGCAAGGCGCACTGGGACCCTATCGTGATCTGATATTATCGTCGTGTGCTTTCGTTTGTACGTACACTGGACGAACATGAGCTTCACTACCACTTCGGTCGGAGAGCCAAATTTCAAGATCCAGAAATTTGCAAGCATTGTACTTAGTGCGTTTTTTCCCCATTTTCGCGACTGGGAAGGGTGGTAAATTCGCGCCGACCACAGAAACGACACTAAAGCAATCGTATGCATGCCCTCCTCTAGTAGACGGAAGCTATAGAGCTGTTAAAAATGTGGGGCATTTATGGACGTTCTTGATTTTCATTGTTCAGTTCACGATGAAACTCTCTTCTTTGAACAAGGAATTCGCAACACAACTCCCTATCAGGTGAAGGACCCAGATTTCGGTCTGAAGACCCCTGGGCCCCCGGAGCTTTTGTTGAACATTGAACCGATCTCGGAGACAAGCTGAAAACTGTGAAAGGAAGTGACATACGGTCAGTAATGCCTCTCTGCCTCTCCGAACTTCCTCGAAAATACTGACCTTTTTCAATTAAAACCGAATTTGATAAAAAATAATTCGGCGTACTTTTACCGGTTTTATTCGGTTTAAGCCAAAAACGCTGAACCCTAAATATAGCGTATGCAGTTAAAAAATAATATATATCTCAAAGTAGGCACTGCAAAATAATGGAGGGTCAAGGCCAATTCGTCGAAAGCCAACTCGTCGGCGGCCAATTCGTCAAATCCGTTTTCTTTGGAGCAAGTTCGGGGTGGGGAGTATACTCGGTGGGCACACGAAGGCTCCCTGGACAGTA